TTTAACAGAGATTCACAGAGAAAACAGTTTTTTTTAAATAGTAAAAATATTTCACAACATTACTGCTTCTGCTGTATTTTGGATCAAATAAATGCACGCTGGGTGAGCAGAAGAGACTTTTTATAAAACATTAAAAATCTTACTGTTCAAAAACTGTTGATTGGTTGATTATATAGATTACAGAAATGTTATATTGTAATGTTATATATACAGTATATATATATAAGATTTCTGCCCCCCTCACTTCTGAAATGATGGCTACGCCCCTGGCGCCATATATCTTCTTCTTCTTCTTTTGGTTAATGGCCATTTACATTCTTAGTGCATATCGCCACCTAATTGGAGGTCGTGTAATTATTTTTTAATCTTCTCATTTAATCACTGTGAATAAGAATTATATTGTGTTTGATGCTAATTACATAATGAAAAGAAAGACTGATTAAACGACATAATAGTCTGTGTTTGCAAGATAATATGGCTGTATCATTTAATTTTTGTTTAGTCATTTTGCTTCCACATTTCATATTTAGAATATCTATAGGATATATTATATACCCTTATTTACAATATTCCTTTGTTCCTTTGTTACTAGTTCTAAAGTGACGTTTTGGAAATAGTAACGGAGACTGGGGCTGAGCTGTTAAACTGTGAACGTTAGATTTGAATCTGTGGCGGAAAGAAGTAGGCTTTTAAAGACACTTCGTTGTTGTGTTTAATTTATTTACACACTCGTGCCGTCGAAATGTTTTTAAATGCAATATCACACGAGTAGATGTGAGATATGGCTGTATATCGGCACACTGTAATTACCTACGGCCGAATCACAGCCGTGCCGATATACAGCCATATCTCACATCTACTCGTGTGATATTGCTCATATACAGTATATACACACACCGCGTGAATAATTATTAGGCACTTTGATATTCTGATGATATTTTTTTTTCCAAGCACATCTGACCAATTCCAAACCACATCAATCTTAATAACTACTATTAATTTTGTATTTAATCATTTATAAGTAATATATAATTGTCCATGAAGGCTGGAAGTGAAATAATTATTAGGCAGGTTTCCTTTTACAGATAAAATGAGCCAAAAAAGAGGTTTAACTCCGACTGAAAGGTCAAAAATGATTAAATCCCCATGAGAAATATTCAAAACTAATGCAATAGAGAAATGTCAAAGTTAAGGCATGACCACTGGACAGCAAAATGCTCACTGGGTCAGCGGGGTTAGAAAAAAACAGGTGGAGAAGAAAAGACAAACGTTAACTGCAAAAGAATGAAGAATTAATGTGAAGGTAATTGTTGATTTACCTTTTTTCTTTTTTTGTTCTCTTTTATGTTTTTTTCTTTTGATCTCTTCCATCTCTGAGCATTTCTGCTGATCTGTGAGGAAAACAAAAAGATGTATAAAAAAATGAGAGAAATGGAAGATAAATATCATGTGAGATATTATCCCATAGCATTAAGATGGTGCTAAATAATGTGTGTCCTATTAAAATTACTATGAGGTTGTAACACTATGGCCCGGTTTCACAAACGGGGCTTAGCTTAAGCCATTCTCAGAGACTTTGCTTGGGTAACAAATCCTTAAAAATGACCCTCACATTTATTCTTTAATATTCTTAAATTCTTTAAACAGTGGTACAAGAAGATGTGGTGATGGTCCTTCAAGAGTCACTCACTACTTATCTTTCCATAAAGCTTATACAAAATTCAGTCTTCATGTATTTCACAACACTTCAGCATGTTATTCTTTTTAAGCGAGGGTCATTTTTTCTTTAGGATTTGTTACCCAAGCAAAGTCTCTGAGAACCTGACACCTTGTACTTCTGGAGACTGCAGGAAGGCTGCAGTTCTGGAAAATGCTGGCGCTGGAGACTAAATGTTTCCTGATGGTTTCACATCTAATTCTTCACATTAATTGTTGATTTACCTTTTTTCTTTTTTTGTTCTCTTTTATGTTTTTTTTCTTTTGATCTCTTCCATCTCTGAGCATTTCTGCTGATCTGTGCGGAAAACAAAAAGATGTATAAAAAAACGAGAGAAATGTAAGATAAATATCATGTGAGATATTATCCCATAGCATTAAGATGGTGCTAAATAATGTGTGTCCTATTAAAATTACTATGAGGTTGTAACACTATGGCCCGGTTTCACAAACGGGGCTTAGCTTAAGCCAGGACTAGGCCTTAGTTAAATTAAAATATTTAAGCAACTTTTACAAAAATGCAAAATACAAAAATTGCATCTTGACACAGAACAATGACACAGACATATTTTAAGATATGATTTTTTCAGCTGAGACCGCTCAAACATGCATTTTAGTCTGGGACTAGCTTAAGCCTTGTCTGTGAAACCAGGGGTATATATTGCATATTGTTTATGTATATTTATGTACATACAAAATAATATGTATATAAATATTGTTGTTGCAAGGAAATTTTCCACGTAGATACACATTAACCAGAAGTTCATCAGTCTTAAGAAAAACGGGAACCGTGTATATGTATGTATCCAAGTGTACTACCTAGTGTCTACCTATTTACCAGTGTTGGGTATCGTTTGAATTTTATAAATTCTGATTACGATTCTGCTTAATGATTCCCAGGTTCGATTACAATGTGGTACACGGTGTGAATTATGACGGCCAGAAGATTGTATGTCCACGCACATGATACGAGTGAGTTTATCTGAAAATCGTACGGACACAGTGATATACGACACGATTTTAAGACCTGCCGAATTCCGAAGCAATCGCGTGAAGTTCCCTGATGTAATGACGTGTAATGAATTGAGTTGAGAGAAGGGCAGGATAATATAGCTGTTATGTAGTACATTTAAATAAAACTTCTCTCTCTCTCAATTAAATTTCAATTAAATTCAAGTGTGCTTTATTGGCATGACAAAAACTATATATTTTTTTATTGCCAAAGCAATTGCAGCTGGGCTGCTTACAAGCAGTGCATATATATGTTAACAGAAAGAAAAAGAATAATAATTATAGTAATAATAATAATAATATATCAAAAGTATTAATTGATAATAAGTAATAAAATGAATTACTAATGTATTTAAAGGTGCAATAGGTGATTGTCTTCAGAGACATTTTTTGTTATGCTGGTTGAAAGTCTCTTCACATCCCGATAGCATTCAATAAGTGGTCTAAATGTATTTATCTGTATTTATATATTCTGTGAAAGGCGTAGGATCAAGAAATGTTCATCCAATCAAAACGTTCGGTCCGAGCGTTTCAATTGGCTTTCCTACCTGCCTGTCAAATATGTATTAGCATACCTCTGCGCACCGGGTTCGTGCAGACAGGATACTCATCAGCTCGTTCACGCACACTGAGCAGACAGAGTGAGGACGGCAGGCAAACATCAACAACATTTCCTTCCTGGTATTGTAGTATTTTTAAAGTTTTCTCACCGGTGAATGACACATGATGTAGCCCAGCGGTTCCCAATTCCAGTCCTCGCGCCCCCCGCTCTGCATATTTTGCATGTCTCGCTTAGTTAACACACCTTATTCAGATAACCAGCTCGTTATCAGATACGGCAGTTTCTCCTGGTCTGAGAGAGTTTGAAATGTCTGATGGATCTGCTGTATTTTATCATAGAACACTGTCCGTATATCTGTGTATTTGGGGCATTCTGTTAGGAAGTGCAGCTCTGTTTCCATCTGATTCAGATCACAGTGTGAACACAGTCTCTGCTCCGGTGGCAGCCATGTTTTTCTGTGTCTGCCCGTCTCTATCATCAGCTTGTGTCCGCTGAGTCTGTATCTGGTCAACGTGCTTCTCAGTTTCTTATCTGACACTGTGTACAGATACTCTGCCGTACTGTACTCTCTCTTTAGGGCCAGATAGCATTGCACTTTACTCTGCTGCTGTGTTTGGGTTTGCCAGTGAGTGATGTAGCTCTGTTTGATCTGTGCAGTAATCTGACTGATTCTGATGCTGTGATGCAGAGCAGCAGTAGATGTTAGTGAAGCATCAGGACTGAAGCTCTGGATCAGCTGAGGGAGGGCCTTGCTTTCTTTGCTCATCTCTTGGTATTGCAGGGCTTTATAATGATATGATTGGTAGTCAGCAAACAGTGCTTCAGGAGTGTGCTTGATCTGCTTCTGTCTGTGGAGCTGTTTAGAATGCGCAGAGCTCTTCTGAGGGTACACAAAGGGGTGGGGCTTGCATGCTGCAGCGGCCATGCTGGTTTTCGAATGTCAGTACTTGAAGTGGGCCGGTACACTTCGGTACACTATGCAGTACCGGCACTTCTGTATTTTAGTCTTTAGCATACTGGCACTTTTTTGTGCGTACCGTCATTTCTGGCATGTTGCCGGGACTCCGAGTCAAAGCATCAGTGTCTGGCGAAATAACAGTATATAAATCACACTACCAGGAGGGGTCACCTAAAATTTGTCAGAACTGAATGTCTGTCTTATTTTAAAACAACATTAAAAGTAAAATAATCAGGAGCTCATCTTATTGCTGCTGCTCTCTCTCTCGCTCAACTGCATAATATTGATACGAGACGTGTTTGCTACACACAGGATCTTTCTGCACTGGGAAACCGGGACATCTGGTCATCCCGTATGTGAATTATAATTTAGCTAGGAACATTTATAATTTAGCTTTACCTCTCTCTTTTGTTTTCATGAAAGAATTTGAGCAATACTTTTCATTGATCCAATTGTCTATGAACAAAAAATCTTTAAAAACATTATCTGTTTGTAACTCTTTTCCCATCTTTATTGACATGTAAATCTCAAATTGTTTTTTTTTTTCAGTTTGTAATGTATTAAACATTATTTATTTATTTATTTTTCATTGTCTTATCATTTTATTGGTTTATTTTTATTGATGGTTGCATTACTGTTTGCATACTGTTTTTGAGCATTAATAAAAAAAAAAAAATTTTAAAGTTCAGCAAGTTTCTATCTTCCTTTTAGTCTTTCGTCTGTAGTTTTCCTCAGCTCCTGATTGGTCAACTTCAGATAGATCGACAAATCGGCTCGTTCAACTGCACACACCTCACGAATGCAAGCCGACAGCTCCCGAACTTTTTTGACATGTTTAAAAATGATCTGGCACTCGTGAGGCTCGTAAATCCCTCTCGCACGATGCGAGTCACGACCATGCGAGCATCAATGATTTTTCCCAATGGGAAATAAATCGCGTGCGAGCTCGTGCGACAGCAAAAATCACACCGTGTACGCACGGCTTAAGGCAAACATGTAGAGAGAGAAGAGCAGAGTTTCTAAAATAGATCCCTGGGGGAGTCCAGATTCAAGATGGGCAGCAGAGGAGGTAAAGTTGCCAATTCTGACTGAAAATTATCACTCGGTTAAATAAGATTTAAACCAATTCAAGACTGAGCCTTTTAGCCCCACAAAAGATTCTAATCTAGACAGGAGCAACAGATGATCAATAGTATCAAAGGCAGCAGTCAGGTCTAAAAGCATTAAAATCACAGAGTCACCTGAATCGGTAGCAACTAAGATATCGTTTAAGGGTGTTTTCACACTTAAGTCCTCTTTAAAAGAACCAAACCCAGACCCCTTTAAGTGGACCAAGAGGTGGACCAAGTGAAAAAGAACCCAGTTTCCTTTGTGTTCACACTATCGTAGTTCCTGAAAATGTTCTCATATCATTTTTTGGTCCACTTAAGCAGTAACGGTGTCTCAGACCTCTTTGTGTTCAGACTGTTGCTTTTTGGATCTAGACCAGTTCAGTGTTTGATGGCTGACATTATGGCCTCCAAAACTGTAATATTTGTATCTTTTGCACAAAAATATACGTTTCGTACACCTTTGTAATATTTATTTTGAATTGTTTTCCTTGTCTATGTCATCGTTAGGGCTGGGTATCGAGTTTGATACTTTTTAGGCACCGACCGAATTGCCTCGATACCGTCGAGTATCGAAAAACATCTCGTCATTCGGTACCAAATTTCGATACCTAAGGGGTTAATCTCATCAGCGACAGTGAGACAATAAGCCTGCAGCACTAGCCGGTGTGTTCGACTAGAAGAGGTTCGATGCAGATCGATCAGTCTGAGAGCAGTCTGCTCTCTTTAGCTTTCGTGGTACTGTAATACACCGATCGGTCTGCACAGTCGGTCCGCGTCAAGTCGAACACACCGACTAGTTTACACTGGTTACACTCAGAGATGTGGCGCACGCGTGAAGCTGTAGTGTGAATGCGTCCCAGCCCCCTTAGATGCAAGGCTACATTTACACTGGTGCGTTTATGTTTTAAAATGAAAACAATCCTCGTCATACTGGCGTTTCCACTGCGTTTCAAGCCGGCTTTCCACTATCTCCAAGCGACAGACAAATAAAATATAATAAACTGCTTTAAATTTTTCAGGTACAGTACAGGTATCCTTAAATGCAGCATTTAAGTAAGATACTAATAAAATAAAAATGCATATTATTAATCGTATGAATAATAGATTCTACTGATTCTCATATTAGGCTGCTGTACTAGAACTACATACTGCACAGATCAGTTACACATGCAATTTCGATTGAGACAAAACCAACTGTGTTTATGTGACCCATGGGTGTTTTTGACAATTGAAACAATAAACGCTAAAGAGTGTAGTTTAGCCCCCGCTGGGATGTGCGTGCTCGTAGCCTATATCAAAAAGTTTAAACTGGCAAGGCGCAAGTCTCTCTTACACAGTTTGGAAGCGGTTGAAATTAAAATAAACGAGTGTACAGATCTGCCAGAAGAAGCAGCCGCTATGAACAGCTGATTTGTATGGAAACATCTGATGGCCAAACTACATTGGAATTCGCAAATGGAAAAATCACAATGCACGTTTTTAGCAAACCGTACCTTTAGCCGAAAGCAAACCGTACTCAGACCACCTCCCGAGATGGTCTCGGTTCGGTTAGCTTCTGAGGGGTCTGAGATCATTTGGAGTGTTCACATATGGGCCAAAAATGGCTTGAAACCAGACTGAAAGATTTCTGAGATATGGTTTGTGCTAGAAAAGATATCTAAGGAAGGCTTCTTGAGCAAGGCAGTAACAGAGGCCAATGTCAGGCATGCAGGAACAGAACCAGCTGATAAACATTTGTTCAGTAGAGAAAGCAAAGCAGGGCCAACAGACTCAATTTGCAATGTAAAATACCGAGGGTGTATTACATCACGAGGACAGGGTTACAGGGAACTTTTATACTGAAAACTTCAAGTTAAACATAAAGTTATTCCAACTAAACTTTATAAATTCAAATAATGTTCAATTTGTCAAGTTGTACATAATTAATATTCTACATAAGTCAGTGCAAATAGCTGTATTTTACTACAGTGACAAGTATGAATGGTATAGTGGACAATGCACTAGTTTAGGACATTTGAGGCCTGTTGGCTCATAGGGATGCAAGTTCAAGACTGTTTGGTATCATCCCCTGATTTTAACTTAAAAGTTAAGCTGACTATGTATGAAATTAAAGACAAAATAAAACCTAAAGTTTATGTTTGCAAACAGAAAGTATTAATAAATGTGGCTGCAAGCAGGAATTTTTGAGGCCGAACAAGTCAGAAACAAAGTGACAAGCTAAGCAAGCATGGCAGGGGAGAATCCGGAAAATGCTTATTATATTTCAGCATCTTTTTCTGCAGTCATTTACTCAGGATTATTATTAAAACTAATTTAATGACACAGATTAATAGTAAAAATATTTCAGTTATGGGAACAATGGCAATATTATCTCTCTTTTTAACAAATCGTCGTTCAGAGTAACAAACCATGGTCATACAGTGTAACACATGTATTTATGTAAAAACTAAACAATATACTTATTCTGACCTGTATTTATTAAAATACAAACAAGAATATATGATCATACTAAGTTTTAATATATTTTAAATGATTTTCACTTCCTTACAAAAACTTCTTGCAGGCAAATTGGAAAACATAGTGGTTTGAAGGACATTAGTGTCACATGTTGGTTTCTGTTTAGTTCTTGTCTGTCCTTATTTTGTTAGTTTCCTGCTCATTTAGTTAATCATCATTCATTAGTTTCCACCTGTGTTGAATTAATCATCTCGTTTGCTCCTTAGTTGCCTGCCCTTTATAAGCCCTCAGTTTCTGTCATTTCTTGGCCTTTGGATTAATGTTATTTAAATGGTCTATGTGTGTTGATGGCAATTAAAATACTTCTTTACTCCTACGCCTTCGTCGTACGTTCACTACAACCACGTACCGTGACAATTAGCAAAGTATGAAGATTTAAAAATGAAAGTTAATTGATATTTGAGGGCTGCACTGTGATGTCTAAATAATCTATCACTATTTGCACTTAGAGTTAATAGCATATATCGCTAAGGAAATATGCTATTTGCTTAGTGTAAATATAATCTAATTGCTATTTACATTTAATGTAAGTGGCATCTATCGCTATTTGCACTTAGTGCAAATAGCCGCTGCCAATAATTCAATATATTTTTATGTATATTTTCGAAATAGATTTTCATATATTTAAATAGAAAATATATTTTATACTGTATGTAAATATTTATTATTCATATATTTCAATCTATGTGACGTCTGTATGGGCGGGATTGCTTACGAGACATTGTTGACGTTAAAGCTGCTCGAGCGCAGAGAAAATGAAGGACAGCGCAACCGCTGAGGGCTGAAACTATAGCAATGCAGGGCTGTCAATCAACCCGCGTGGCCCGGCCCTCCGAAATGTGACGTCACACTGCGAGAGAATCAAAACGGCAGGCCTATTGAGACGGACTTGGTTTAAAGGGGATTAAAAAATGAGGAGTGGGTGGATTTTTATTATTGTAGGGTGGTTGTGTTCACACACTGCCAACACACATTTATGTCCAGACACCATGTAAAAGTGGATTTTGCATAATAGGTGCCCTTTAAATTTGTTTTCTTTTTGTAATTGTGTGTTTAGTCATGCAACCTCTTGCCAGATTCTATTGTCTTGATGAGTTAAAGCACACTTATGTGGATGATTGGAATTTTTGTACTTTAAAAAAAAAAGGTTCTGATTTTATACTGGACCCATGTCTTTTGCCCTCATTGTAAAAGTGAATCTGCATTGGCTAGAGCAGGTTTTGAGCTCTATCAAATATTTCCCTGGATGCAGGAATTCCCCGGGTGTTTTAGTCAGTTGTTCCTTTAAAGACAGTCCCCTAAGATTGAAAATGTCCCATTAGTTAATCATGCCGTTTCTGGGAGTGATGCACAGGGCAGGTGCGAACAAGGAAGTTTGTTATTGAGTAACCTTATTTTGTTAAAAAGTAACAAATGAGTTTTAAGTGTTAAACTCAGCCTATAAATATGCTATGACAGCACTGAGTCATTGTAGAAGGAGGATGTTTCTGGGGCTTTGCAGAAGAGCAAGAGATTCACCGTAAACTGTTGAAGTGTATGGAGGATGGCGAAGTGTAAGACAGACTGCATCGAACGACCTCTGTCTCTGGCCTTTGAAAAACTTGGTTGTGTTGTTGGTAGACATCCATGTGTTTCTTTTATTAGCTCTATATGTGGCTGCTGCCCTTGGAGCTGGTTTTGTTTTTCTTCAGGAGAGGGAGGCGAATGATATTGAAGAACAGTTTACACCTGTCAATGGACCTGCCAAGTTGGAGAGGGCAATTGTGGTGGAAAATTTCCCACAATCCGAAGAGTTTTCTGATTTACGGCTTGCGTCTGAAGGCACTTATGCCTCTTTGATCATCACAGGCTTGAAAGAAGAAAATATATTAACCGAAGCAGCTTTTAACGACATTATAGAGCTAGACAGACAAGTGAAAAGTATAACGACAGGAAACACTTTTGAAAACCTCTGTGCCAAAACAAAAGGACGGTGCATATCAAATGCAATTTTAGACATTATCAATTACAATGCTACTGAAATAGTTTCTTCAAACATAACATATCCGATGAATAATGACATCTTTTTGGGAACAACCATTGGCGGTGTAAAGCTGGATAGCTCAGAGCTCACCAGTGCCAGAGCGGTCAGGCTTTTTTACTTCTTAGATGAGAAGAAGACAAAGGAAACCCCTTGCTGGCTCGATGGCTTTCTAAAACTCCTCTCAAACTCTACAGAACAGAAAACGGTAAGCAAAAGAAATGATTGTGAGTTATGATCTATATCTCCATGTATACAAACACCTGATGACCTGATTGTATGTGTGTGTGTGTGTGTGTGTGTGTGTAAAAGTACCTCAAGTGTCATTAATCAAATAATCTCCAATAACTGAAACTAAAGAACCAAAAGTCATTTTGACAACAGTTCCAAAATGTTGAGAGAATGAACCAAATCTATGTACATTTTCTTGATTTTTCTGCTGGCTATTCATGTCCTGTAATGATTTTCCCTAACTAATTCTTCACTATGCTATATCCTAACTAATTCTTCACAGTGATTATAATGAACATTTGTCATTTGTGTTGAATTTTTACAGGTCCATGTGTCTTACTTTACATCGATATCAAGACAGAATGAGTTTGAAAACAATTCAGACTCTATCATCCCCCTTTTCTCTGTTACGTATGTCCTGGCCATTACCATTTCAGTTCTGTCTTGTTTAAGGTATTGTAAAGAATAAAAAATCCCATTAGCACATTTCTATCACTAGTTATGGTATTGATCCCTTGTGTCCTTCCCCAGGTTAGACTGCGTCAGGACGAAGGTGTGGGTGGCTGCGTTGGGTGTTGTCTCTGCTGGTATGGCCGTGTTGGCCAGCTTTGGACTGCTGCTGTTCTGTGGGATGCCATTTGCCATGACCGTGGAAACAGCCCCCTTTCTGATTCTCGGTAAATTTCATTTATTTCCTCACCTAGTAGGCGTCTCACAGCTGATGTTAACAGGCTCCGCTGTTTTCCAGGTGTTGGTGTTGACGACATGTTCATTATGATCTCCTGCTGGCAGAAGACTGAAGTTGATAAAGACGTTGAGGTTCGCTTAGCAGACACATACAAGGAGGCCGGTGTGTCCATAACAATCACCACGCTGACGGATGTGCTGGCTTTCTACATCGGTCTTGCGACCCCCTTCCGCTCGGTTCAGTCCTTTTGCTTGTACACCAGCACAGCTCTTCTGTTTTGCTACATCTTCAACATCACCTTCTTTGGCGCGTGTCTCGCACTGAACGGAAGGCGAGAGAAAGGCAACAGACACTGGCTGACCTGCATGAAAGTCCCAGAAGCCACTGGTGATGGTAGAGGTTGTTGTGTTGGTGGGGCGTATGATGAAGACACACATACGGAATTTGAAATGCCAATGAATTCATTCTTTAAAAACTATTACGGCCCATTTCTGACAAGAGTGTGGGTTAAGACACTCGTGTGTCTGATCTATGCCGGCTATTTGGCAGTCAGTATCTACGGATGCTTCCAAATACAGGAAGGTCTAGATGTGAAAAATTTAGCGGCAGATGGCTCATATGTTGCTGATTACTATGACAATGAGGACGAATTCTTCTCTGATTTTGGTCCTAATGTCATGTTAGT